GACTGCTAAATCACCCTCACTCTGAGCAGTCCAGAGTCTGCTCCTTGAGAAATCCATCTCCGTGACCCAGGGCAGCAGAGGACGCTGTTTCCTGCTAGGGGGGTCATTTGGGTGGAAGGAAAAAGAGAGGGAAAAAGGGATTAAGTGGAGGTGAGGGAACATTCTGTGATCTGAGAGTACAAAGCACTGCACAGGCTGACTGGGATGTGGTGGCAAAGGGCACCTGCTCTGCTCCTTAAATCCGGGTTCAGGGACCACCCAAAAGATGGAGGAGAAATCAAAGCAGCTTTGTGCAGCACAATCTCTACATATTAAAAAGAAATGAAACCGAGATGTTTCAGAGACAAAGGAAACCCAGGGAATTTGCTCTGTGCCCTGAGCCAGGTGCTGAGGAGCAGGAGAGTTTACCTGTTGCAGAGGGAGAAGGGAGTTTTCTCACCAGCTCTTCCCAGAGAACTTGATTCTTCCAAAACCACGACATTCCCAGTGTGGGAAGCAGAAATGCTCTGGGAACAGCCACAAACTGCTTCCTTGTGGGCAATCTGGCTGCCTTCCTGTCCTTTTCTCATTTATAGAGTGCTAAATGCTGCCAGGTGCCATCTTCCCTATCCCAGCTCTTGTATGGACTTTTACACTCACTGCATCCCTGCTCAGGCAGCAGCACGGGAATAGCAGCGAGCACGGCTGCAGAAAAAACTGGATTATTGATGAAGTTATATGATTATTAATTACATTATTTATGAGTGCAGAGAAAACAGAGCAACAAAGCAAACTCCCAACAACCCGCCTTGCTGTGGGGGCTCCCAACCCCGCTTTGCACCATATCCTTTCAAAAATCCCTCTCCATCAGAAGAGCTTGTTTGTTGTTTTCTAATACAGCTATTCCGGTGCTCCTTCCGAGAGCAGAAGAATATTCCTGGAGAGGCAGGTTTTTTCCAGCCCTGTTAAATTGATTTGCTTTTAAGAATCACTGGGCGGTCGAACCGCTCTGGCTCCGGCTTGTTTGTGCAGAACACTCTGGAGAGGTTTATAGAGATATTAAAATTAAATATGAAGTCACGGAATAAATGGGGCCTCCATTCAGTGTGCCTTGTAAATCCAGTTTAAATGGCTCCCTTTATTAAATATCCTTTCCTCTTAAAAATGGATTAACTGCTCTCGCCGGAGGCTCTGACGGAGAAGCTGTTGGATCCCTATGGCAACGCCGCGCTCCGAGAGACCCCTCGGCTTCATCCCAGTCCAGGTATCCCCTTTATACCACCTCCAATTATTAATCAGCGTCTCCCACTATTAATTACAACCCCAAGGCCGGCACTGAGCACTGTGCTGCAACCTCCCACTGCCTCGGTGAGTCCCATCCCATATGGAAGGCATGGATAGAGGTTGGATGTCTTTCCCAGCACACCTGGCAGTGCTCACCTGATTCCTCCTCTGTTCCCCTGATTTTTGGGTTTGTTGTTTTCCTTTTCTTCCTGCTTTTGGCCTCAGTCTCTCACACTGCCCAGTGTTGCTCCCAATGGCCCTGCAGAGCTCTCAACATGTGTTCCAGCCTGGCATTTGGAATTTAAGGAAAATTCATATATAAAGGGGTGATTTAGCTGGATTTTGGGTTTTTGCAGGAGGCTGAGGCAGTACAGTCCTGGCCAGTCCCCATGTGACCCCTCAGCACAGCTCCCTTCCCAAGGGCCAGACAGGAATTACCTTTCTGCCAAGGGCTTTATCACAGGAAAGAGTCTCCAGGAATGTCCAAGCTTGATGTTTCCAGAAAAATGGCTCACTGCACTGCTGCTCCAGGACCCTGAGGTTTTGGGCACAGGGATGCAGCCATGGCAGGAGCAGCAGCTGGAGAAGAACATGAAAAGCTCAACCTCATTTTTATTCAGCTTTGTGTGACACAGGCAGTGCAGGAGCCATTCCAAGAGTGGCTCTGCAAGACTGCGGCTGCTTTCCCATGGATGGAGCCTGTGCCAATGGAGCTGGGAGCTCCCTGTGCTGCCACTGCAGCATTTGGAGCAGCAAGAGCCAACGCTGGCATGCAGGGATTAGTGAGCAGTTATCCATTATCTCCTCTCAAGCCCCCAGCTCGGTGAGCCAAGTGTTTATCCCATATGGATGGGGTGAGAAGGGCACAGTAAAACAGGGAATTGCCCACGCTCAGGTCCCTGGAGGTTAAGGGGATGTGTATCCCTTTTCCCTATGTGGCACCACACAGAGCTGGTCCTGCTACCAGTGATGGGACAAATCCCACTCCCACTCCCTGCACGGCTCCTCCATGGGCAGGGATGGAGCTGGGTGGGTGCTGGAGTACTCTGTCACGTTCATGTGACAGTCCCAACTGCTCCTGTCTCTTGCCTCGCAGGGATTTTGGCACAATTACAGCCAATTATAATTAGCAGCATTAAAGCCCCAGTTAAACACAAGCAGGAGCTCGTGGCTTTCACTCCAGGTGGGAAGACACTTCAGCCAGTCCTGGATGCTGCTCTGGATCTGCTTGGCTGGGACACATGGAGAGTGAGGTGAGGAAGCCCCAAGAAGGCTCCCACAGCAGCATCACCAGACCAGCTGGCACTTTCCCTGGAAAAAAGAGCTGCTCCAAAGCAGAACAAAGAGCCATGCCAGCATCCTTGAATCTGCAGGACACTGCTGTGCCTCTCGAAGGATTAACTCTCAAAGGTCAGGACACACTTTTCAACAGCTCTCACCCTCTCATTGTGCTCATCCTGGTGCCCAAACCTTATCCAAAGGCCTGGAAGTGCCCACAGCCTCAGCAGCTCCTTCCCAGCACCCCTGGTGCCTCCTTCTCCCTGCAATTGCCACGAGGCTCTGTCACCTTCAGACACCACACGTGGAAATGAGGGAAATGGGACACAGCAGGTTGGCTCTGCCAGGTACCTGAACCACTGATGTTCATCAGAAGCTGCCAGGGGATGCCCAGCTGGCCAAAGCCAGGCGGGATTCCAATGGCCACACACCTCATGCTTTCCAGACAGTGAGCCCACGCCTTCCTGATGCATGGGAAACTCCAAGGACAACCTGTGGCCAAAAGGACTCTGCCACAGTGGCAGCAGAACATTCCTGGCAGCATCAGTCATGATACAAGAGCAGTTTGCTGAATGTCAGATCCAGGAGAGCTGGATACAGCTCCGCGTGCCTCCCTCGGGTAGCAGATTTCAACAGTAAATCCAATTTTGTTTGACATTAATCCCAACTTTTCAGCCCGCCACAGATTATCCTTCTGGTGACGGCTCACTACGCAGGAAGAGTGGGGATGGAAAAGCTTTTTCTTGGTTGTCTTTCCAAAGGACCTCTCTGAGGGAGCATCGACACCGGATAAGCACCAGAGCCGGCCGTGGGTCCAGGTTTCTGTTCCATTTCTGGCACCCACATCACTGATGGTTCCCAGTGACCAGGTCACATTAAATCCAACTAGGAAATCTCAAATTGATTCTTCAGCAGAACTCCCAGGCCATGGGGTTGGGAATATCATGCTCAGTGGTCCCACAGCAGCTCACAAATGTACATCTCCCTGGATGAGCTCCTTCCTCCCTTGGGAGGAAAATTCCCAGATGAATTCACTTCATCACTGTGGTTTCCTTTTTCAGGAATTCTCTTGGTTTGATCTGCTTCTCCAGGTCTGTGCTTCCAGCAGCTCCCTGCAAGAAGCTGTGCTGGCAAGGCTGGGAGTAGGAAGCAAAAGCCAGAATCCTCTAGCAAAATCCCTAATGCTAGGAAGAAATTTAATCAGGAATTTAAGAGCAGGTGTGATGCCAGCAGGGCTGAAAAGGAACAGGGACTGAACAGCCCCAGCTCCTGATGGGACCATCTCAGAATTTCCTGCCCAAGGTGACCTGGGTGTGAAAGATGCCGCAAATTTTCAGAAAGATGCAGCCAAGGTCCAATGGATTATCCAAGGGCTATGGATGCAGTCCTGCCATGTCCAGCTAATGTGCACAAGCCACATGTGCCCCTCACTCCCTTCTCTGTAATTAGGAGCTAATTCCACGTCAGACATTACTCTTTCCTTCTGCCCATTTTGTTCCCAGAGCTCATCCCCTCTCTTCCCAGGTGTGCAAGGCCACAGCCCCGAAAGCAGCAGAACATTTCAACATGGAATGGAAATCACGAAAGACAAGGAGGAGCCTGTGGGACAGCTCCAGAGGAGCCATGGCTCAGGACTGTGTGGGAGTGGCTGTGTCACCACCCAGAAATCGTGAAAGACGAGGAGGAGCCTGTGGGATAGAGGAGCCATGGCTCAGGACTGTGTGGGAGTGGCTGTGTCACCACCCAGGGCCACGGGAGCTGTTCCCCCTGAGGATGAGTGTGCAGGAGCCCCTGCAATCCCCTGCATGTGCCTTGCCTTTGGCCTTGCACTCCAAGCCCTGTCACCGTCTGGGAGCATCCCTGAACAGCTCTCACCTGCATGTGGCTGCAGGCACTCCCACCAGGTACTCCTGATCCCATCATCCTGCTCCTCATTGCTCTTCCAGCAGGTTATTTGACTCCTGTCTGCTCTTCTCCCACTTGGAATCCTTCCGGCCATTTGGGATATCTGTGTAGATGGCTCGGCCATTGGACCTGTCCTCACTTGGTGCCACGGGGCTGTGACACTCAGCTGGCAGAAGCTGGAGGAGACAGCGTTCCAAGCGAGACACTTTTCCAAAGCAACATTCCCAAATGCTTCCTTCAGGGTTCCTAAAGCCCAGCTGAAACAAGACTGCCACCACCACCTGCCCTGCTTGGACAGCAGAGACTCAAATACTCCACTGACAGTGGCTGTCAAGAGCAGACTGCAGAAAAGTCAGTCAGTCCCTGCCTATCCTGTTGCCACTTGCTCTATTCCCATGGAAAACCCAACAGATTGCTTATCCAACAAACCTGAGCACCCACATCTGCTCCCAAGCACTCCTAACTCCTTCAACCACCAGGTCCAGGCAGGAAGTTCATGCAGGAATGGGAAGAACAGTCCAGCACTGGTTTGTTTTCTAAATCAATACGATTTTTCAAATTTATTTTTTAAGAATTACTTCTAATATATCTTTCTCACAGAAGGAGGGAATAGGGAATGTTCTCATTCCATCTGTAAACAATGAAATACAGATCTGGGAGACCAGGGAAGAGACACAAAAAAGTGCATTTTACAAAATTATCAACTAAAATATATTTTACATGTATTATGCTTCAATTTAAATTCTACCAACTGCATTTTTCAGTTTCAAAAAATATTTCCATATCTAATAGATTAAAAAAGCAGGAAATCTTTTCATTAGGGATAAGACATTTCAGTTCATTTACATGCTGTTTGCACAACAGCATCAGCAACCACGTGAACCTCAATGTTCATGGCCTGAAGCAGATTCAACATGAGAAGAGTCAGGTTTGTCCTCTCCAGAGCTGGACCGGAGCCCGTTATGGACCCAGGGCAAGGAGAACTTCCCTGCTACCTGGAGAGGAGCCAGGACAAGGTGGGAGCAGGGGGAGATGGGGCAGAAGGAGGAGTTTTGGTGAGTTACTGTGGTTCCAAGGCTGGGTCTCACACCTGGGCCCAGCTGCAGCAGTGCTCAGGCTCACCTGGCTGGTGGGTCTTGCAGCATTCCATGTCCAAAGCACTGCCAGGGAGAAATGGCCACAGCAGCTCTCCTGCTTCAGGTTCAGGGACAAAGGAGTCCCCATGAAGCCAAACACGTGGATTTGGGGCTTCCCATCACCTTTCACTCATTGTGGGGTGCAGCTGCTGCACTCCCCTCATGGCTGGGCAGCTGCCATTCCCTCTGTGTCACAGGCAGGAGCAGCTCCACTTCTCCAGCATCCTCCCTCCCTGCTACAGGGGAAAACCACTTCATATCCTCCCCCTGCTTCAGGTTCAGGGACAAAGGAGTCCCCATGAAGCCAAACACGTGGATTTCGGGCATCCCATCACCTTTCACTCACTGTGGGGTGCAGCTGCTGCACTCCCCCCATGGCTGGGCAGCTGCCATTCCCTCTGTGTCACAGGCAGGAGCAGCTCCACTTCTCCAGCATCCTCCCTCCCTGCTACAGGGGAAAACCACTTCATATCCTCCCACCAAAAGCATCAGAGACCATGATCTCCAATGCCTCCTTGCACCCCTTCATCCAAGTGTCCCCACAGTGCCACCACTTCCCAACCCAACACACAAGCCCCACCACATCATCCCAAGAGACCCCCAGTGCCAAGCGAATTGTTCAGGAGAGATCTGGGCAATCCCTTTGACACCAACAGTATCTTGAGGTATAAGTGAGAGAAGATGCTTCACCTGACAATTCTTGCTTGCACACCTGGGATCCCCCTTCTTGGAGCTGGGTGTTCTCCCTGGGCTATGCAGGTGGGAATAAACAGGAGTTTTCCAGCAGGAATCATCCACCAGCTGCAGGGAGATGCCCGCCTGCTGCAGCGGGTGCCAGACCTTGTCATGCCCTCAAGCCATCGCCTCCAGACACATTCCCCTCTTTGGTATGTAGAGCAAATCTCTGGAGAACTCCTGCGTGCCTGAACTATTCCATGTAAGGAACTGGATGCCATGGGCTTTCTCTCCAGGCCAGGCAGGTGTGTGTGGCCACTGGAGCAAGGTGACAAGCCCTGTGTCCCCAGGGAGTACAGGGAATGCTGCTTCCACTGATAGGACATTAAAGCAGAATGGACACTTCCACCATGGAACACAAGTTCAGAAGCCCCAAAAGACTGGGAAAATGCAGATCCCTCGTTTCAGTGAGCGGCTCCAGCCAGCAGGAATGTGGGTGGCACGGGGTCAGTTCTGCTGTAAGTTAGTGCAATCTCGGGCTGGGCTCCCAGCCTGGTGCAGTGACTGCCCAGGATGTGACACTGTCCTTTGGTTTGCTTTGGGATTAACTCCAAGTTAGCGTTGAGATAAGCTAAGGTCTGTCTGGGATCTAAGGTCTGTCTGGGATCTGTACAGGTAAGGCAAGAGGCAGGACCTGCGGGGCTCGCACGGTCCACGCGAACCTTTCCCGATGCTCAGGTCCTTTCAGGAGCCACAAAGCCACTTTGGTGAGCTTGCTCGGACACCGGGATGAGTTTGGAGAGGGAGAGGCTGCTGATGGCTTCAACAGCACACCCAGGATCAGGACAGTCACATGGGGAAGGAATTTTAAAAAGCCAAAAACACGCAAGAAAAGGGTTTGCCACTTCCCCCTCTGGCTTCTTCCCACTGCAGACACATGGGGATAAGCAGGGTCTGTAAACGACATTATAGGAAATAAACTGGGAAGAAAGAGAAAATCCAGGGCCCCCTGAGCCATCAGAGGAAGAGCAACACTCAGAAGAAAAGAGGAAACATGGTTCTCCCCAGCAGAGCCCACTTTGTGAGCTCCAAGCTTCCAAGCGACAAGTGCCAGTGAGTACTGAGCCTTGGGAATGGGGCATAAAATCCTGTGGGCTCGGCCAGGACACCTGGGACAGGACCTGCTCTAACCCTACACTGCGGTGTGACACCTGCCACTTTGCCAGCTCCCTCTGCTGCACCATGGAGCAGGCTCCAAGCCCCAGCCTAGGTGGTGAATCACAGAGGTGAGGGGAGGGAAAAAGACAGGGGAGAACACCTCTTCCCCTGGTGAAGCAACACCTATCCAAGCATGACACAAGGCCACTCTGCACCCAGGCAGCTCCCAAAGCTGTATTTTTGAATCCTCAGAGTCTGTCCTGCAGGACCAAGGAGACTCTCCTGTGCTCTGCCAAGAACTGGGCTCAGTTCAGGGCCTGAAAACCACCGACTGTCCCAGCCGCACTCCACAAACACTGCACTGACACATCCTTCCTGCACCTTCGTGCCATTCCCCCAGCCACGCCTCTGCACTGCTTCCTGGCTTTTATCCCCTGCAAACCCTCCCAAATAGATGCAGCTCTACATACATATATAGATATAGATTTACTTATGCAAATCCCTATATCTATATACATATATTTATTTTTTTTTACGTATATATTTTCATTTATGCTTTTAATGAAGTGCTGTGCTTTCAAACTGCTGCCTCCCCCTCCACGGGCTCCGCTCCTCGCACGCTCCCGAGTCCCAGGGCGGAGCGCTGGGCGCTCCCACCTGCAGCAGCATGAGGTGGGTGAGGGTGCACAGGTGTCCCCAAGGCCGCGGGCGCTCCGGTGCCACCCGCTCCCGCCGCGCTCCGAGCCAGGGCTGTGCTACTGCGGGTTCTTCAGGATGCGCCCGTGCCGGAAGTCGTAGACGTGACGACAGAGGAAAACCAGCTCGGGGTCCGTGTCCTCGGGCACCTTGCGGTGCAGAGGGGTGGAATACTCCTCCGAGGGAGGAACCATGATGGTTTTCCTGCCCGGGATCCCTTCGACTCGACGCTTTGCCAAGGCACAAAATCTGCAGGGCAATCACATCGGAAGAGTTACCAGAGGATCCTGGAATGCTTTGGGTTGGAAGGGATATTAAGGCTCATCCAGTCCCACCCCTGCCATGGGCAGGAACCTTTCACTAGGTTCCACCTTCCACTAGTCCAGGTTTCTCCAAGCTCCATCCAACCTGGCTTTGGACCCTTCCAGGGATGGGGCAGCCAGAGCTTCACTGAGCCAGAGCCTCATCACCCTCATAGGGAAGAATTTATTCCTAATATCCCATCTATCCCTGCTCTTTGGCAGTGTGAAGCCATTCTCCCTTGTCCTGGCACTCCACACCCTTGTAAACAGTCTTTCTCCATTTTTCCTGTGGGCTCCCTTGAGGTACTGGAAGGGGAAATTAAGTCACTCCAAAGCCTTCACTTTTTCAGGATGAACAATCCCTATTCTCAGCCTTTCCTCATAGGAGAGGTGCTCCATCCCTCTGATCAACCTGATGGCCTCCTCTGGACTCGCTCCAACAGGTCCGTGTCCTTCCTGTGCTGGGGACCATGAACTCATTCCCTCTCCTGCTGCCTGTGTCCTGCTGGGAGCCACAACTGCAGCTGCTGGAGGATAAGGGGAAGGGAAGGAATGTGGACAAAGCTTTGTTCAAAGAGAACTCCTGCAGGAAGCAACACAAGTTTGCATTTCCATATGGGTGAATATCATACAGCACCAAAGATGATAGCAATTAAAAAAAGTTTTAAAACCTTGTTTTTACTGCTTTGGTCTCATTTTTGCTAATTAGCCCCTAATAGATGCTTATGAACCAATGTTTAGGAAAACAAAGAATTCAGGATGCCTTCAGGGAACATCTCTCAAAGGTGACCTGACCCACAAGAGCATGAAAGAATTCCTGCCAGTAGCTGTTCCAGAAGACTGGGGTGCTAGAATGGAAAGGAACTGCTTTGATCCAAAGCTTGGGGATGGGGGAATTTGTTTGGTTGGCTTTGTTTGGTTTGTTATTCTTGGGGTTAGGTTGTTTTTTTGTTTGTTTGTTTGGGATTTTTTAGTGTTCTCAAAAGATCAAAATTCAGTTTCTAAAGAGTTTGTACGCCAGTTTGGTTTTAGAAATTCCAAGAGCAGAGCCCTGGGCAAGGAGCAGGCTGAGGAGGAGTCTCAGGCATCCCTTCCATGGCAGGGCTGCACAGACCACAGGATGCACCCAGCAGAACTGAGAGATTTAAAGCACTGGTTTGCATGATGGGTTTGTCCCATTCAATCCCTATTTTCCTTCAGCCCTGTGTATCCATCCCAGGATGGCAGGCTGGAATATGGATGCTGGGAAGGTCTTGCTGACAAAGCTGCAATTCAGTCAGCAAGAGTTCAACTATAGCTGCCTGAGTCACTGCTCCAAAGGGTGCTGCTGCCAAAATCCCTGGATCTGGTGTCCAGCATAAACACTTGCACTTGTATCAGCAGGTTTTTGGATAGTCTGGCATCTGTGTCCCACAAGGGATGCATATATAGGATCTCTTCCTAGGTCACTTAGTTTTTAGCTCAAAGTTCCATGTTTCCTGTACACCTGTTCTTGTATTCCTTGGAAGCATGTGCAGTGGTCATACAAGCATGCATATTTGGGAGTCCCTTGAGAGGAGCACAAGAGGCTGGGGAAGGGTTTGGAGCACCAGGAGTAACTGAGGAAGCTGGGGGGATTCAGCCTGGAGAAAAGGAGGCTCAGGGGGGACCTCTGGCTCTCCACAATTCCCTGGCAGGAGGGTGCAGCCAGAGGCTCTGCTCCCAGGGAACAAGGCACAGGTTGAGAGGAAGCAGCCTCAAGTTGCACCAGGGGAGATTTAGGTTGGATATTGGGAGAATTCCTTCAAGGAAAGGGTGGTCAGGGCTTGGAACAGGCTGTGGTGGAGCCACCATCCCTGGAGGGATTTAAAAGCTATGTGGATGTGGCACTTGGGGACAGGGGTTAGTGGTGGCCTTGGCAGCTCCAGGGGAACAGCTGGACTCGATGATCTTAAGGGTCTATTCCATGATCCTACACAATCCAGACATGGAATGGATCTGGAGCAGGAGAAGCCTGCAGCAGAGCAAGGGTCACTACCGCAGCTCCAGCCACACCACAGCCCAGCTGGGCTGGCTGGGACAGGCAGGGTGAGAGCGGCTGGAGCAGGGGGAGGTTTGGGAAGTGCAGCAGGTTCAGAGCTCCACCTACCTGCAGTACTCTGCGAAGGTCAGCACGTAGCACTTCTCCTCGATGCAGGCGACGCTGTTCTCGTCCTGGTGCCGCGACGCGAAGATCTCGTTCTGCGGGAGGAAGGGAGGGGACAGGTCACCCTCTGGAGCCCCGGGAGGCACGGCCAGCTCCACACCCTCACCCAGCCACAGAGGGAATGGCGAGCTCTGCACCTTCACCCATCACCTTAACGCGCAGTGACCAAAGCATGGCCACGGTGAAAACTCTTCAGAGCCAGCGTCCCACGTACTGCAGGCACCTGCCGTGTGCTCTGTGCACCAGGGAGCAAAGCACCGACTCTCCCACCACCTCACCCTGCCCAGCACACTTTGTGAGACCCAGTGCTCCAATATCCCATGAGTTTCCAATGTCACAAAGCTCTTCAGCAGCAAGGCCACGGCTGGCTGCACCCCTGGGTCTCCCCTTTCCTTCTGGATTCTCTAATCCATCTTATATCAAAACTTAAAGACACCCTTCTTGTCCAACCACTTCCTCTTCCCAATTCAATTTAGAAGGCTGGTTTAGTGAGAGAAGTAGCAAAGCCTTTTTCAGAATCATGGAACAGAATCCTGCTATGGTTTGGGTTGGTAGGGACCTTAAGGATTATCTCATTCCACCGCCTGCCATGGGCAGGGACACCTTCCACTAGACCAGGTTGCTTCAAGCCCCATCCAACTTGGCCTGGAACACATCCAAGGAGGAGCAGCCACAAGCTCTATTGG